AACTCATATATATATATATATATATATATATATATATATATATATATATATATATATATATATATATATAATGTGAAATCTTCATTATTTATTTGGTAACGGTTCGGGTGACATGAACTCTTTATGTCATTCGGGCCTGATTAGGGCATCTACAATACTCCGCTCGAAAAATTGATGGTTCCTATCCTTTCTAATTCCCCAGTAAATCCCCCACCCTTGATTTGGCCTGAACATATCCCTGTACCCCTGTCAATTGCATGCCACAAGATTTAGTTGATTATGGAGTCAAAATGTGAGAATTCTAGAGATGGAGATGCTCTCCCAACGTATATTGATAGAATTTGGGATGGGGTATGGATAACTGGATTGGGTAATAAGACACTTGGGCTGAACCACATTAAAAGATTGAATCCAATCTATTAGTTAGTTCAACTCAAGGGCTTATATACCGGTTTATATTCTCTCCAAGTTCCGATGTGGGATACTCTTTTAACACTCCCCCTCAAGTGGACAACCGGACCATTTTGAATCTAACCGGTTGACCACTTGCAAATGAACTCCCATTCCCTTGACTTTTTTTTTTGAGCGCCAACACCTAAAGGACCACGAGCCGCTGGGTATGGACTTCGAGACGAGCAATCGTGTTAAATAGGCCACAGGCCGTTGGGTACAACATTCATACGGACAACTGGGCTAAAGACTAACGGACCGCTAGGAATGAACGTCTAGACGGACACCTTGACAAACGAGGTGGACTAAAACTGGCTCTGATACCATGATAGAATTTGGGATGGGGTATGGATAACTGGATTGGATAATAAGACACTTGGGCTGAACCACATTAAAAGATTGAATCCAATCTATTAGTTAGTTCAACTCAAGGGCTTATATACCGGTTTATATTCTCTCCAAGTTCCGATGTGAGATACTCTTTTAACATATATTTTACTGTTTTCGTTTAAGGCAATTCTCTAGCCATGCAAAAAAGATTGCCATTAGCCAATGCCATGCCTGTGATGGGGTGGCAAAGATAATAATGAACAGAAGCTGCAAATGTTCAGGGGAGATGAACATGAACATGAACTCACTCATCTTAGCTTCTACATGGTCCACTCTCACATGCATGTGAACACAATCAACATGCCATTATGGCTGCCCCCACATCACATCCATACATACACAACCCATATATCATCATCATCCATATATATCTATATGTGCCATGCATATATAGTCTTTTGCACACGTATAGGCACTACCAACCACGTACAAGTCTTTAAGATATGCTCATTTTCTCCCCAAATTTAAACATTCTTATTCCCACTAATCTTTTTTATTTATTTTCAAATGAACCATTTGAAAAAGCAATCACATTGAGGCTATAATCTAGATGTGCATTAACTTTGTGTGGGGAATAGATGTTGACATATATGCGTCCGATCGATTTGAGTGAGTACGGATTGGATTTTACATAATTAATTACAGTACTATATATATATATATATATATATGTGTGTGTGTGTGTGTGTGTGTGGGGATAGATTCCTAAAGGATCACAAATCGACGGGTATGGATTTTCCGACGAACAATCAAGTTATATAGGCGGCCACAAACTGTTTTTCATACGGACAACTCAGCTAAAGACTAGGGCCACTAGAAATGAATGTCTAAACAGACCACTTGACAAATGATATGGTCCAAAACCTACTCCCAATATCATGATAGAATCAAGATGGATAGGGTCATAAGAACTTGAATTGAACTATATTAAAAGATTGAATCCAATCAATTACTTAGTTCAACTCAAGAGTTTATATACCAATTACTTTACTCTTCATTTTTTGTTGTGGGATATTTTAACATTAAACCTCGTTAGTTAGTTCTCCTATCGATTATTTCATAACTTTTAACGCATAAGTATAAACTTGGCAAAACATTATGTCGTTGGTCATCGTCTTACGAGACCTATCTAACGGCACCAATATTGAATATATTATTTTGACGTTATGACTTACTTACATTTTGTTCTTTTATTTTACTTTCTTTTCCATCTTGGGCTCGTAGTTTCAGTTCTCAATTAATCGAGGTTAGATTAAATTTACAATTTATTACAAATTCATTATAAATTTTTGGGTATATTTAGGGTATTACAGATTAAGAGTATGCTATTTTGCTTGAAGAAATTGACTGTTAGACAATAATATTAAGTATTCCTAGTTATGGTAGAAGTTGTATTTTAGTTAGTTTCCATTCTTTATTTCTAGTTGTGTTAGGAGTCTCTTCTATATATACTCTATCATTACTACATAATCCAAGAAGCAATATTATTATTTCAATATTTCAACATGGTATCAGAGTCATCGCTCTTGGTGACCTAAAAGAGTTCTTTGCTTCCGCTGCCGGTAATTCTGGCGACGGCGACTCCACCCCATTCACCTCTATTTTCTTTTCTTTCTTTTATTCTCAAATCAACTTATCCATTCAAATGAAAAAAAAGGAAAAAAACCTTGTTGAAATCACACAAAAAGAATCATCAAAGGAGGAACTTCTCTCTTGTCATCTTCATGGTTCTTCAAAAAAAAACTCCAACTCCTAACAAATCCTCTCAACTCATCCTATCTTCTCAAAAAAAAAGAGAAAAAAACAATTGTTATTTCTCTCCAATTCACCATATCAAAATCTCAGCCCCAAATCTTTCTTCCATCATCAATTCTTAACTCACTTTTTTTCTCTCTCTCAAATCACTCATTCTAATCATCAAACTCTCTTCTCTTTCTCTTTTGTTGAACCAATAAAAAATTAAAAAAAAAACACAAAAGCAAAGCCAAAAGGGGAAGTAGTGAAAAAGGAAAGAATACCTCTACACCCCTTCAAGAAAGAAATAGGGCATTGCCCGGATCCAATAAAAAAACAAAGAATGTCAAAGATCTTCAGTCAAAGAGACCGCACAAATAGCTTTCTCTATTCTTCTTCGACGTCAGCAGCTACAAGCGCACGTCAACCTTCTCTTTTCTTCTTCGACGTCAGCAGCTACCAGCGCACGTCAATTATTTCTCTCTTCTTCAACGATGTCTGCAGCTACCAGTGCATGTCAGACTTCTCTCCTCTCCAACGACGTCAGCAGCCACCGGCGCACATCAGACTTCTCTCTTCTCCAACGACGTCAGCAGCCACCGGTGCACGTCAGATTTCTCTCTCCTCAAAGTTTCCAGTTTCCGGCTAGTGTTCAAGCTTCCTCTTGCTTCAGCCAGAGTTCAGCTTGAGGGGGGATGTTAGACAATAATATTAAGTATTCCTAGTTATGGTAGAAGTTGTATTTTAGTTAGTTTCCATTCTTTATTCCTAGTTGTGTTAGGAGTCTCTTCTATATATACTCTATCATTACTACATAATCCAAGGAGCAATATTATTATTTCAATATTTCAACATTGACTTCCAATATTTTCTAACTTCTTTTTATTTTTTCCAACTTTTTTTCAGTTTCTTTCATTTATATTTTATTTTTCTAATTTGTTTGTATCCAAGTCCTTCCAGGTTTCTTCAATTTTTTTTAGTTTTTTCCAACTTGCTGTTCATAATATTTTACCTAATCATAGTGACCGTCCTACCAAGTCTGATAGGGCTCTCGGGGATGAGGCCTCTCATTTTTTTCTAACATTGAATTTTAGTTTTCCAAGCCAAAATAGCATGTCTTAAGTAAGTAATATTCCATATTAAGGAAGGGATTTAAAAACAATATAGTACTCTCTAGTCTCTACGTTCTGGATCAATCATCTCACTTCCCTATTCAAGGTACTTTTTTATTTCCTTACTTATTTTCATCAATTATTTGTTAGAATAATATAATCATGTAATCTCTTATTTTATAGACAATTTAACAAACACACACACATATATATATATGTATATATGTATGTACATGTGCGTGTGTGTCTATATATATATATATATATATATATATATATATACACACACACACACTCCGGGTATATCGTAGTGTTTTAATATACAAATTTTACTTTTTAAAAAATAAATACTCTATTTGTCTTATACGTCGTATCTTGTTTCTCAGTTTTGACTTTTTTGGTGAATGTTTTTAAATTTTGATCACAACTCATGAAAAGTTACATTAAATCACGGAGTATAATGTAAATTTAATATCAATAAGTTTATTTTGAGATTTAGTTTAAAATTGTCATGTTTTTATGATATGCACTTCTCTGTCTCTAAAAGTTATGTATTTCCTTACAAATATAAGAAGTCAATGCAAAAAAAAAAAGATTTGAAATCTAATAAATTTGTTTTTATGGAATTTAGTCCATATTTGTGACATTTATATCCTATGGGAATAATTTGTTATGCAGGGGAAAACCGGAAAATCACACGGTGGGCGGTGCATCCTCGGAATCTCTAGTGTTGGAAATTTTCCAAACGTGTTTAATTAGTCAATCAACAAGTTGTATTTATAAAAGAAAAAAATATCATATCTTTTGAAAGAATGAGTTGTAGCCAATTATTTACTCGACCCACCCCATGAATCTTCCTAGTTCATACCTTGGCTTGTTTTTATATAGGGTTGACCCACAATATAAAATTAATAATAATAATAATAATAATAATAATTATAATAATAAATATAAATATAATAATAATAATAATTGGGAGTAATACTCATTTAGTCTCAGTGCATTTTTCATGCTTAACTTTTTTTAGTCAAAATGAATAAACATTAAGCTTCAATTAAATATGTATTTATACATAAAAATGATTTTATTATGTTTATACGTAGTATTATTGATTTTTATCATACAAATTGAAAGTAATTAAAATTTAAAATTTATTTAGTTTGACCGAGAAAAGTGACAAAGAGACTTGGAGGTAGTAATAATTGCTATGTTTTCTAATCCCAACATTAAACCATTAATTTAATGATGATGAAAAGTGGCATTTACAAATATGGCAACTCCTATATATATGTACCCTTATTCTCCTCATGAGTATTATACCCAGAATAGTATACTCATCATTTCTACCCCTTTTCTCTATCTTTGCTCCAAACTTACCTTAACACTCCATACATTCATAAGAAAAATAATGGAAATAAGTAGCAGTGCAGAGAATGAGAGCACAACCAGCGACTCCGCGCCGGCGCCGGCGTCTTTCCCGGCGGCGGCGGTGAAGTGGCCGGAGAGTTTCTGCCGGATGGGAAGCGGCACGAGCGCGATCATCGACGCCGCGGATAGCGGCATCGAGGCGGAGTCTTGCCGGAAGCTTCCGTCGTCGAGGTTCAAAGGCGTGGTCCCGCAGCCGAACGGCCGGTGGGGCGCGCAAATCTACGAGAAGCACCAGAGGGTTTGGCTGGGGACGTTCAACGAGGAGGAGGAGGCTGCCCGGGCTTACGACGTCGCCGCCCTCCGCTTCCGCGGCCGTGACGCCGTCACAAACTACAAACAGCCGCATGTTCTATCAGACGACGGTGGAGGTTTCGAGTCCGCGTTTCTCGGGTCCCACTCCAAGCTCGAGATTGTCGACATGCTGCGAAAGCACACTTACGACGACGAGCTGGAGCAGTTCAAGGCCGGCGGCGGCGGCGGTGCCGCCGCCGCCGCAACTGGCGCCAAGAAAAGCGGGAATGCGTCTCGGGAACCGCTTTTCGAGAAGGCGGTGACGCCGAGTGACGTCGGGAAGCTGAACCGGCTCGTCATCCCGAAACAGCACGCCGAGAAGCACTTCCCGCTGCAGAGCGGCGGCGGCGGCGGCGGGGAGGGGCCGAAGGGGATTTTGCTAAATTTCGAGGACCATGAGGGAAAAGTGTGGAGATTCCGGTACTCGTACTGGAACAGCAGTCAAAGCTACGTGTTGACCAAAGGGTGGAGCCGGTTCGTGAAGGAGAAGAGTCTCAGACCGGGCGACGTCGTTTTCTTCCTCCGGTCTACCGGTCACGAAAAGCAGCTATACATAGACTGGAAGGCGGCGGGAGGGGGTGGCGTGCCACCTCAGCCGCCGCCGGTTCGGTACAGGACAATCGGGTGTCTACAAAAAACCCCGGTTCAAGTGGTCCGGCTTTTCGGGGTGAACATATGGAATAATAATGTCCGAGACGACGTTAGCGGGACTGGCGGGGAGATCGCCGCCACGTGCGGCGGCGTGAAGAGGCTGAGGGAAATGGAGTTGCTAGCGGTAGACGGTGGCAAGAAACAAAGGCCGATTGATGCTTTGTAGCCGGAATTCAGTACAGTACGGTGTATTATTAATTTAGACTCAATCAATTTCTCTCCTTTTTAATTCGATGTATTAATTAAAATGTATATTAGGGGATGGAATTGGAAATGTAACTAAGGTGATATTAGTACCAAAATTTTAAAAAAAATGTAGACATTTTTCATATTTTCGTTCTCTTCCATTTTTTATGCACCACTCGAAAGTTTTCACCTACAAAACTTCATTTTCTTAATAACTGTGTAGATCTATTATGACATTTTTTACATACCCAATATATATTGTACAAATATATATTGTACAAACAATTGTATTTCCTATGTCTTAAAACATTCTTTCCAATTACTATTTATACGATCAAACTTAAATCACTTTCTTTATCTATTTTCGTTAGTTTCTTGATAAAATAATATAGTCTTGTCACATTTTGTTTTGTAGAACATTTGATACCTCTTGTTTTGTAGAACATTTGATGTAGTTTTAAATATATAAATTTTATTTTTAAATTTTACACATGCAATCAACTAAATTGAATTGAAAATAAAGTCGGTCAAATCTCGTAAATTCAAACGGGAAGATAGTTTTAGGACGGGAGGAGTATGATTCTTCTGTAAATATGCGATGAATACTTTTTTACAATTAATTAAAAACTCATTTTGGAACAATTGAATACTCGTTGTTCTAAAATTAATGCTAAAAAATAAGTATTCTACTACCCAAAAACGACAATTCAGTTACTCTAAAATGACTATTCTATTACTCAAAAAGAGATGTTCATGCAAGCAAAACACTTGCTAGTGTGGATTGCCCAAACTATATTCTATTACTCCCGACTCTAAGTATTTGTTCAATCTTGACATTTTGCAGTCAACTTTTTTTCACCTTTAATCCATAACAAAAAAGGTATATAATTATTGCCAAATTATATTTTGTGCTCTCAAATTAATCTCAACATGACAGGAGCTTAAAAAGGAACTATCTTTGGAATAATATAGTATCCGTAAAAGAAGGATATAAATTACATCTATTACAAAGGACTAATTAGAAAATTTATGCAATCTTTTAGACAGACTCTACAAACATTGATAATGTTCTCAAAGAATTTAGAAAACTCTACATCGTACCGGTATATTCTAGAGTATTCTACATTTTATTTTGGGTATAGATTAGTCTGAGTTTGGGTCTCTCAAATCATCTTCCTATCTTCTCAAAACCAAGGAAAACAATGATAATTGTTTCTGTCTAATTTACCATATCAGAATCTCAGACCCAAATCTTTTCTCCATCACCAATTCTTAACTCACATTTTTTTTCAATTGACTCATTCTAATCATCAATCTCCCTTCTCTTCCTATTTTGTTGAACCAATAGAAATCCAAAGCAAATCAAAACAAAACCAAAGTCAAGATGGTAAATAGAGAAAGAAAAAAGAATACCTCAACAACTCACCCTCTAAGAAAGTCATAAAAATCCTCACAATTGAGAAAAAGAAAGGGGACATTGCCCGGATCCAATAAAAAGACAAAAAATGTCAAAGAATTTCAATCAATTGCGCACCTTCAATAGCCTTCTCTGTTCTTCTTTCCACGTTAGGAGCTACAAGCGCATGTCAACCCTTTCTCTCTTCTTCAAAGACGCTCTCTTCTCTAACAACGTCAGCAGCTATCAGTACACGTCAGACTTATCTCTACTCCAACGACGTTAGCAGCCACCGGCGCACGTCGGACTTCTCTCTTCTTCAATGATGTCAGCAGCCACCGGCGCACGTCAGACTTCTCTCTTCTCTAACGACATCAGCAGCCGCTGGCGCACGTCAAACTTTTCTCTTCTCAAAGTTTCTAGTTTTCAGGTAGTGTCCAAGCTTTCTCTTAGTTTGCTTCAACGAGAGTTCAGCTTCAGGAAGAATGTTAGACAATTAGTTATAGTCAATATTGATTGTGGTAACTACCAAAAAAAATATTGATTATGGTAGACTTTGTAGTTTAGCCAGCTTATATAATTGTTTCCTAGTCTAAGTTGGGATTGTATTCCTTTCTATATATACTCTACCTTGTATTCCTTCCATTATTTCCTTAAACAATATTATTACTCTAATATTTCAACGTAAACGACAACTTTGTGTATTTTATGACCTTGTCTTTGTGATTCTTGCCTTTTCCAAGTTTATAACAATTCTTAATTTTTTGATACATTTTACCTACCACTAAAACGGACATGTTGACCTGATCAATGTTCGGGTCGGGCCAAGAGGTTACATAACAAGAGTTTTTAAGGATTGAGCCCGGCCCGACTCGCATATTGGGCCTAAAAATGAAACCCGAGCCTAACCCACGTGAAAACCCACAAACTTTGGGCCAGCTCGGACCGCATTGATAATAAATTATGAACATTAAAAAATGATTTTCAACAATTTCTCGTAAATATTTTTAAAAAAAAGTAAATTTTAAACATCAATATATTTGGTGTGTACATTTTAGCAAATAAAAAGTAGACAGTGTATTAAGATCACGGAGTATAAACTAGAGTATATACTTTGCACTAAAATATTAAGTAAACACATGAGTAAAATGTAAGTAACAAATGATATTTCGTATATTTTTTTAATCAATCATATTCCGTATATAAGGATATATAATCTATGCTACTTCGAGAACTCTGTATTATTTATATACCTTCATACGGAGTATTATTTATAAGGGTCGGGCCGGATCGTCCGCGGGCTTTAGCAATACAATCCATACCCGCCACACAACACTTTTTGGTACATATAATTTACGAGCCGGGCCGACCCGAATGCTAAAACTCAAGCCCAAGCATGCATTTTTTCAGGCGGGCCTATCAGGCCAGGTTGGATATCCGAACTCATGATTGGGTTTAGGCATGTCCAAGATTCTTGTCAATTTTGAAAATTGTTTGTGTTCGTTTTTTCTTCATAATTTGATTGAGCTTTGAAAATAATAATTATGATACCACAGAAGAAATTCGTGTATATCTTTTGTGTATGAGATATCTACGAATAACATATCAACAAAAGTTTGTCGTGAAATTATTTTTTTGATTTTAAGGAAGGCTAGGGATGGTTCTCATGACATGGAGTTCCAATGTTATGGGATGATCCGTAGTCGTTACGGTACTCCGTTCGTAGAAGTAAAATATTGAAAAATATATCAAAATATTACACACATGTCTTTATTCCCAAAATAAGAAATAAAATGCATTTACATTACCAAAAAGTATAGTAATGTGCACATGTACAGTGTCACATTACAACATTACCAAAATGTGAAGTCATATTTCGGAAATAAAAATATAAAACTTCTATTTTGGTACTTTTTTCTATGTTTTAGTCCTCTTTAGAGTGATTTCTATTCGTAAAATTAAAAGTTTCTACCCCCTAATACCCGGTAAATCCCACACGTCATCCCGACCCGAACACACTCCCTACCGCTTTCAATTGCACGCCTAAGTTAATTTGGACTTTGAGGCAAAATTGACTCCAAAACCAAAATTAACTTGAGGGTGTAATTGAAGGAGGTGGAAGCTGTGTTCGGATCGAGGCAGGGTGAGAGGATTTACCGGGGGTTAGAGGGATAGAAAGTGTCGATTTTACAAACAGAGCATCATAGCAATCATGAGTCGTCCAATGACATGGGTTCAAATGTCATGAGAAACCCTACGTTTACCGAAATAAAATCTTTACTTACTTATACACTATCTTTTCGGTTCTTTTTTTGTAAATTTTTTTAATGAATTTGTTATTATTGTTATACTCCGTATTTATTTTTGTAGGTGGAAAGTGGTACTATGAACCAAATTTTTTGCCAATAATAATACTTCATCTGTCTTAAAATTAATTTTCTGATTTGACTTTTGCGATCAATTTTTTTAAACTTTGTTTGTATATTACGAAAAAAGTACATTAAACTTTTCTATAAATTTAATATTTATAGATTTATTTTAAAATATAGTTTTGAAATATTTTATTTTTATAGCATATATTTATATATAAATAGAGATTTTAATGATTACAATATTGCGATAGAGACCGTAAAATGTCAAATGAAAAAATAATAACGTACTTATTATCCTTCGACTTGGCATTCTTCAAACTTGTCAGATCTGATATCTACTGGCCAATAAATGATTGGGTGTGAATGGTTGAGTGGAATAAACAAATTGTGAATTGTTGAAAAAAATGGAATAAATCATTAGACGTGCGTTCATACCTATAGAGTTTTTATATGGCGTATCCGAAACCCATAAAATTTTAATGAACTTTTTGCATATAGCTAGAAAATATTCTTTAAAAAAATGCTCATCTATGTTACTAAGAAAATACTTATTACTCTCATTAATTTGTAGATGGAGCACAAATCTTATGCCCACATTAGAATATGTAGAATTTATATGTGGTTTTCTTTGCTTTGATTTGATTTTAAAATGATAAATTAAAATATCTCAATGTTAAAAAAAGAAAACCAGTTCGGTTGAGTTTAATTTTATATGGAGTATAAAAATATACTCTTTATGAATTGTTGGCTGATCGACTAGGTTTTTTATGGTTTGGTTTTTAGTTTTGCTTGTTTTATAGTACTCCCTCAGTCCCATAAAGATGGATACGTTTTGTCTAAAGTAGAAATTAAGGGAGGGATAATTTTTTGTTGACTTTCCAAAAATACCCTTGATGTGATGAGTAAAAGTATGATGTGATGTGTAGATTATTAGGAAAAAGGTATGATGTGATAGGTAGGGTTTGAAAAAGTAAGGGGTAAAAGTGGTTTTTTAATAGAAATGGGTAAGGGATTGTGGGACGCAATTTTTTTTAAACGTGTAATTCTTTTTGGGACGGAGGAAGTATTATAATAAAAATTGTTTGTCCAATTAGATTTGAAAATTTTAAACTCGACAAATAACTATGAAGAAGCTAGTATTAATTACGGAGTTTACTTTATAAATGATAAATTAAAAAACTCCTTTCAATTCATTCTAAACTTAAGTTTTCGATATGACTTTCACATAAATTAAAAAAATAAAAATTATTGGTTGAGATTTACGTAGGTGAATGATAATTAAAAGTTTTACGAAGTCATTATATTTTTTCCAAAGTATTTTTCAGATCCCTAAATTATTTTATGTGCTTGTTAGGTCCTTATATTTTCTAAAT